GTCAGGGTGTGTGGCCTATTATGCTAATGAGTTCCTGCTGGGCTTTTCCCACAAAAAACGCCCTGGCAACAGCTAATGCACTCCGGCCGTGAAAGCCTTCGACAACATATTAGCCCTTCAAATACTTCAAGAGAGCGATCATGATCCCCCTCAACCTCCTCTTCTCCAGACCGGACATTCCCAAGTCCCTCCGCCTTTCCTCGCGGGGCTTGGTCTCCAGGCCCCCGATCATCCTCCTTGCTGTCCTCTGCACTGCTGTGCCCACATCCTCTTTGAAGTGTTCCCCGCACAGCACCCTCCCTTCCCGGCTTTAAACACCCTCTTTGTTCTCATTCCAGATCGAAGATTTGAACCAGAAGATCTTCGACCTGCGAGGCAAGTTTAAACGCCCGAATCTTCGCCGCGTGCGTCTCTCTGCTGATGCCATGATGCAGGCACTGCTGGGCTCCAAGCACAAGGTCTCCATGGACCTGCGGGCCAACCTGAAACAGGTCAAGAAAGACGACACTGAGAAGGTGAGGCGGGGGGGGGGGGGAGGAATGGGGGCGGAGATGGAAGGACCACTTTCTCCCCTTTTCTGCCCAGGAACTAAGATCCCAGGGAGAGGCTGCTGAGACTGCCCCATTAACCAAAGAAGCTCGTCTGGTGGGCACACAAGAGAGGGTCTTTTCAGTGGCAGCCCCACAATTATACCCCCTGGCCCCCTCAGTCTTGATCTTTAGGTGGCAGCTGAAGACAGTTTTATTCATGACAGCGTTCGGAGAGTTCTGCTGCTGACGGGAAATTTTGAATGATTAATTATAACTAGTGGTTTGTATGCATTTTATCGTATTTCGTTATTATTTACTCTGGACATTTCCACACAGGTTGGCCCCAGGTTCAGTGCTGTTGAGAAGCTGTTTTGTTTTTTTCTTCAGCTTCCCTTCATTGTTGTGGTACATTTACACACATCCCAGGATTTCCCAAGCATTTCTCCGACGTTTCTGAAACTGACTTTGCTGCAAAGTTTTGGGAAAGATCACAATAAGTAAAAGACTGAATGGCTGCCGTGTGGGTGAGAAAATTCAGATTTCCTCACCCACATGACAGTCATTATCATGCAGCCATTTACTCCCCCTGCCCCCAAGAGAGCATTATTCTTTTTTGGGGAGGGGAAGGGAAAGGAGTTTGTAAGCCGCTCTGAGACTCCAAGTGAAGGGTGGGGTATAAATCCAATCTCCTCCTCCTCCTCCTCCTCCTCCTCCTCCTCTTCCTCTTCTTCTTCTTCTTCTTCTTTTCTTCTTCTTCTTCTTCTTCTTCTTCTTCTTCTTCTTCTTGACCAATTGAATGCATTATATGTATATACCTGTCAGGCATCGGCTGGCCTGCACCCTTGGGGGTCTCTCTCCCCTTCCACCCTCTTGAGTCTCTGACAATACCATTAAACAACAAATCTTAACGGGTCTGAATTTTTGACTTTAATTTTTTCTTTAGAAAGTAATTCCTTAGCTCTTTCTGTTTCCAAGGTATAAAGGGAGCATATCTCTGCAACAGAGACTTAGGTCCATTACTCACGCACATCTTACTGCAGATTTTCAGAGCAGTAAACCTTTAATCCTGACTTTGGATTCTGTGCCCACCTTACGCACCATTCTTTTTCCTCCGGTGTATTTATTCTGCAGCTACAATTTTAAAAATGCACTTTTCTAAATTAGGGTGGAATGTCACTTGTGACGTGTGTGTGGGAGGTAGCATCCAAAGGGTTTTTTTTTTTTAAATTATGCCCTATCACAGCTTTGTAGTAGCATCCAGTAAATGCCCTCCATTTAAGTCCTTGTGGTTCAGGTTTTGCACATGCATTTTAGCATTAGTGCACTGAATGAAAGCGAACAGAAAGGAAGGCAGGCAAAGGGGGGGGGCAATGTTAAAACTGGCAAACAGCTGTGAAACCCTGTTTTCCACATCGCCGAGCACTAGGGGATTCTTTGCTGTCATCGGCCACTGTGAAAAATGGGAGTCACATGGTCTCATAATATGGGGGTGCACGTTGAGTGTACAGAATGCATAGTAGAACCCACTGGCACTGCAAGCTGTGATATTTGGCAACAGGTGTGCATGTCTGCACGCCTGTGCAAAGTTGGCTGCAACTCCACCATGCTTTACACAGGGCTGCCATTTGAAGGAGTCCTCTGGGAGAAGCTCTGGAGAGCTTTTTTAATCTTGTGCCACCAAACTGAAAAAGAGTCACACGATCTCATAATATGGGGGAACATATTGAGTGTACAGAATACACAGAAAACCCACTGACACTGGCATTGCAAGCTGTGATCATTGGCAACATATGTGTGTGTCTGCATCCGCCTGTGCAAAGTCAGCTGCAACTCCACCACACTTTGCACAGGGCTGAAATTTGTATGGGGGAGTCCTCTGGAGAAGCTCTGGAGAGCTTTTTTAGTCTTGTGCCACTAAATTGGAAAAAAATGGGGGTTGGTATTTTCGCTGATGCTCTAGCACAGTTGCGTAATAATGCTAATTTCCTGCCCTTCCTTGCAAATTTGCGTGGTTTTCTCTTTGTGATTCTCTAATTTGAACCTGCACACTGGTCGTGATCTTGCCAGTTTTTAAAAGCCTATCCTGTGCGGATTACACTCTTCCTCCAAATGGTTTGATTCCAAGCGATTCTTGAGTCTGGCAGTTCGCAGAAGGTCCATGTGGCTCAGCCACCCTTTTAATGCTGTGCTTCCAGAGACTGCCAAAATGGTTCTGCACTTCTGCCCCCCAAACTTTGTTAACTAAAGCATTAAAGGGAAAAATACTTTCAAAGCTTTAGCCTTCTCACCCCAGTGTCACTCTCTCTTTACATCTCGCTTCAATTTCATTCCGAGCTGAGTATCTCCCCCACCTTTACTTGGTTTGCACGCGGCACTGAAATCGGGGTTGTTGTTTTTTTGCACTGGGGACGCTGCCATTTGCCTCCTCTCTGATCCCCCTTTCAGGTCAATACCAGCAGGGAACTAAACCTTGTGCAGCTCCGTCGCTAGACTGCTGCCACTTGTAAAAAAAATTAAAAAGAAGGGGGAAATGGAGCTTGTACACTGATGAAGGGGGGGAGGATGGCAGAAGGTGCGGAGTGGGCGGAATGACCTCCATGTGGGTGGGGAATGGCCTCTAAGGGGCGGCAAAATGGCGGGGGGGGAAATCTGAGGGAATCTGTATGCTTTTGAATTACCGTCAACTTGGAAGTGAAACAAGGGGAAAATCTGCACAGGAGCACTCTCAGAAAACGTGGGGGAACAGTGACCAGACAGCGAACTGAGCACTGAAGGGAGGAAAATCGGTGTAGAATTACAAAGAAAATTCATGCAAAACAGGCCTTACTCTTTCCTTTTTGCCAGTTTGGTGTGGTGGTTAAGTGCGCGGACTCTAATCTGGGAGAACCGGATTTGATTCCCCACTCCTCCACTCGCACCTGGCTGGATGACCTTGGGCAAGCCATAGTTCTGATAAGAGCTGTTCTTGAAAAAGAGCAGTTTCTGTCAAGAGCTCTCTCAGCCCCACCTGCCTCCCAGGGCCTACCTCACAGTGTGACTGTTGAGGAGAGGGGAAGGGAAAGGAGTTTGAAGCCGCTCTGAGACTCCTCTGGGTAGTGAAGGGTGGGGTATAAATCCAATCTCTTCTTCTTCTTCCCTTTTTTAATGAAAGTTGAGAATTCAGAGATTCCGTTTCACTGTTTTGTGTGGTATTGCGGTTGTAACAATGTTCAGTTGCAGACGGGGTGGGGTAGTGGCCTGGGAGGGGGGGAATGGCTGGGGGATCAGGGCAGGGAATCTATGGGGATACCTGCTGTGTGGAAGCCCCATTGCAACTGTGCTGTATGGCCGTCACACCAGGAGCATGGAAACCACACAAGCCCATGTGGAAACCACCTCTGTCCGATTGGTCCCCTCCTGCACTGGGGTTGCCAACTTTTTAACCAGACTTTGCCATAAACAGCGGCTTAAATCTGCAGATGAGGGCAAGTAGGGCTGCCAATTTTGGATTGGGAAAT